TCACCATGCAGGCGGATCATAGCTTATTTATGCCCACATTAGAGAGGTATGTCCAAGAATGGAAGAAAAGTGCTCAGCCTCAGAGTCTGTCATACACGCATTCACACCGGCGTAGGGAGAAGAAGGCTGCGGCGAGCATGCACAACGCCGCTCCACATGGCCCGAACATCGCAAAAACCTTCACTAGCCGGAAGTCTGTAGTTTAACATCACGAATGAAAATTTGTTGATCAACAGAGCTCTTTGGTAAAGGTCCTTTCTTGTAAACTTGTTATTTCTCAAAAAAAGAGTGACTACGGTCAAAAAAATTTGAGAGCAAACAGTACAAGAGAATTTCGCAAACTTTCCAGCAATATTCAAGATTTGCCCAAGATTCGTAGATACTCAGGATAATTTGAAATTTGGCGGTGATAAATTTGAATTAGGGGTATATAAATAGGATCAGTGAGAGTATTATTATGCTTGCGACTATTCTTGTCATCATGAGTATCCCGGATATTGAATGGAAGATTTCAACGAAAGTTTTGACAAGTGGCTGCTCGACAGCGACGATGACGCTGCAGATGGTTAAGATGGCGACGATATGGCTCCTGCGGTTGTTCCTGATAGTGACGATTCTGATACAAAAATTTCAGATGATGACTACGATGAAGGAGCAGAAACTATATGGGCTAACGATGCTGAAAGGTACGAGGAATGGATCCTTTTGGAGCCTGTTGGGAACCTATCCAAAAGTGGTTAACTGCGAGACGCCTATCCAATTCGATGAGCTGTCTTTTTCTGGAGAACTGCTTGATATGGTATCTTACCAGACCCACATCTACGGACAGCAAAAACATCATGATTGGACACCCATCGACACAGATGAACCGAGAAGATTCTTCGGCCTCTGTTCACAGATGTCCCGCTGTCCATTTGATAATCAGCGTAACTACTGGACGCTGAATCCTCGGAACTTGGCTAGAAATGGAATTCGATCTTCGGAGAATTTACGATCAGAGATCGATTTGAAGAGATCCAAAAGCATCTCCACTTTGTCGACAACACTGCCGCCGACAGGACGAATAAGCTTTACAAGCTGCAGCCCGTTCTCGATTACTTGAATAACCGTTTTCAAGCTTTGTTTGGACCTGGAAGAGAACTGTGCTTCGACGAGTCGATGGTGCCATTCAGAGGTCGCGTCTCATTTAGGCAGTACAATGGAACAAAACGTCACCGATTTGGAATCAAAATCTTCAAGCTCTGTTCTCGTGCTGGCTATGCTCAGAAGGTCAGGGTTTACGCCGGAAAGGATCCAAAGCGGACAACCAGTGTGGCAGAAACTGTAGTAATGGAATTGATGGATGGTTTTCTTATGCAAGAACTTTGCCTCTGCACTGATAACCGGCACATGCTTACAATCTACTCAAGATGAGGACTGATTGGACCTCCGAAGAAATCTTAGAGGCATCCCTCAAATCATCCGAGACAAAAAACTGCAGAGAGGAAGTTTATTCATCAGCAGAACATGAAAGGAATACTAAAATTGAAGTGGAAAGACAAGGAAGACATCCACATGATTCCTACGACACATGACGTCAGCTTTCACCCGAACAGCAAACCTTCGGTTTTGCTCGATTACAACATAATGAAGGGATTCGTTGACCTCAGCGACCATATGCTATACTCCGTTTGAGAGAGAGACAGCGAAATGGTATGTCCGACTATTTTTTCATCTCGTAACCCAGACTGCCTTAGTTGATCCTTGATTTTTATATTGCGAGAAGATCAATAAAATCACGATGAACCACTTCAGAGAGCTAATTGTGGACGACTTGCTGTACAAGAACTTCAACGATACGCCGACAAGCAGTTCGAGAACACGCAAGCGGAAGCTGTGGCTGATCTCAATGCGAAGGCTAAGAACAGACGGTTTTGCTCCGACTGCTATAATTCGATCTCTGCAACGTCAGGCAGGTCGACAGCGGGGAGCCTGGCCAAGAGGACTAAGTCAGAATGCAACTAAATGTAATGAATTTTGTTGCCTAGATTGTTTCCAAACATTTCATGGTTGTTAGTCGCTAATAAAAATGAAATACTGGTCTCAAAATTAATCCAGTAGGTGGCCGGTACTACTTTAGACATTAACAAGCCTAAATTGAAAATCTCACCAAAAGCGGAACGGGCAAACACCTTTTGATTGAAGAATGTACCATCGCGCAGTATTGCGCGACATCGTGCCATGAGACAGACTGGCCGTGGCGCACCATTACGCGACATTGTCATCAACGTGTTAATCGATTTGCAAAGGGACCCTAAGAGCTGATCAAAACCATTTTGATAGAAATAATGGTTTCTTTATGGAAAAAAGAAGCCCCTTGGCCAAATTTGTACATTTACTCAAGAAATCATAAAAACGCATCATCATCACATCGTTTTTACCCGTAGAGAGTAAACTCGAGAATGTGTAGAGCTGGAAATGCTGAAACGAAAAGAAATGAAAAGAAACGAGAAGAGCAACGCATCTTATCTAATCGATGTCAACAGTAGAGAAAAAATGAAATTCGTTTTATGAAATCATAAAGCGAAAGCTATGATGTAAACAATCTCGAATTAATCAACTTTTTTGTTTCACAGGAAATGAATCGACTGCCTTCTGACGAAGCTTGCCATATTATGATTGAACAAAATAAAGTCAGTAATTACGTTCGTATGATACAAAATGGGACCATCACAACTGCATATTCGAGGAGGGGATGGCTAGCTTCTGAAGAGTACAACAAAATGTAATACAGAAAGACAAAAGGGTAACAGTGACGGTAGGAAGAGAGAGGACCATCATAAAGCATATATATACAGTACGGTTCTAACCATAGATGCTGGCCTTGCCATTGACCGGACCTTCGCGAAGTTTACAGAACAGAAGGACTAATTCTCTTGGCATGGATCAATCTCGTTTTGAAATGGCAAAGAGTGATCATATAAGTCATCGTGAGCAACTAATAAGGATAGAGATGAAGGATAAAACCTTCTTAAGTTAACCAATCCCGTTTCTGGGATGCGTTCCTGCATACGTCTCCCGTTGATATTTGAATGCTTACGTGGCATACACAATGACTTGCGGTAGTCAGCCCATTTAAAGTCGGTGCTTTCATTTTTCCAAACAAAGGTGATATTAGAGACGGTAGGAGGTTGATGAGGGGAACGGCCACTGACGGGACCTCCGCGAAGTTTGCAGAACGAGAGTACAAATTCTATTGGCAACGAAGTGAGCAACGTTGGAGAGAACGAGTATTCGTGTGGGGTTCCATCACTAGATCATGTGTGTGATGGTGATCCACTTAGCAATACACCACTTCCACTGGCAAGCGTATATAGTATGTGGAGATGGCAAAACGGGAAGCTCGCTAAGGTCAAGAGCTTGACCAATCAATAAATCGATCTTTTTTCATGAAGTGATAGTTAGTTCTTGTCCCATTTCTTCTTCAGAGAAGAGAAATAGTCATCTGTGTTATTGAATTGATTGATTGCTTTACCAAGAACACTTCGAATGACAACCCTGAACGATTTAAGTTCGATAATTCACTACATTTTTACTAGATTCACAAATCCATTTAATGAAATACATCACTCCAAAAAATGGTTCTTACCGTTCATCTCCCTGAGATTTCAGATGAAATACACTCCTAACTTTCGTGTANGTGGTTAGTTCTTGTCCCATTTCTTCTTCAGAGAAGAGAAATAGTCATCTGTGTTATTGAATTGATTGATTGTTTTACCAAGAACACTTCGAATGACAACCCTGAACGATTTAAGTTTGATAATTCACTACAGTTTTTTTAGGTTCACAAATCCATTTAATGAAGTACATCACTCCAAAAAATGGTTCTTACCGTTCATCTCCCTGAGATTTCAGATGAAATACACTCCTAACTTTCGTGTATCTTTTGAAAATAGGATGAAAAAAGATGAAGGAGATTGGAACACATAGTTGACAGAGGAAGCTTGCCTGAAATATAAGAATCGTTAGACTTTGTGAGCCGGAATTGTGATGTATTCAGGTTATATACATTACTTTAAAAGGTCTATGCGCAAGTATGTATCTGACACGCGAGGGAACACAACCTCATCCAGCGGAACTCATCCCCTACTTCAATCCAGTTGCTCCTAAAACCAACATATCATCATAGTAGCAAGTGAATTTTCTTTATGGGTGCGTACTTGTGTGTGTGTACGTATGTATATGTGTACGTGTGTGTGCCTTTCTCTGTGTAAGTTTATGCGTATGTATGTGTATGTCCACGTGTATATGCGTGTATGTGTGTTGCCGATGGCCTTCCACGCTCAGCAGAACGGAGATATCTGAATTTTCCAGCTAAGTGTGTACCTGGATCGAGAAGTATGAGCAACCTATGTGTGTGTATGTGTGTGCGTGCCAAGCCTTTCCTTGCTCAACTAAATGGAAATATCTGCATTTCTACGTGTAAACCTAGATGAAGAAGTGTAAGCAACCTAGCTTAACGCCCAGCGGCGTGAAGGATACTTAGGAATCTCGAACGATAACTCGTCTTTCCCTGAGGTGTAATGCAAGTGCAGAAGGGAGTCCGAAATCCCAATCTAACTCAACGAAAGGAGGATAAGGACGCTGTTTCTTAAACCGAGATTGTGGGAGAACGGATAGGCCAGAGATGTTCTGCAATTTTGTGATGTGACCACTGGATCTGAACACTGGATCTGAACGCTTGAGGAAGGTTCTCTCGGAAAGCCAGCGAATACCAGAACAGCCGCTGGCACAATGGTAAGGCTTGTTCACAGAAGTTCTGAATCAAAGGAGTGGTGTCCTTCGGGCAATAGAGAACCCATTTGAATTGCCATGGCCCACGACTGGGAAGAATCGCGTCCCTACATGGGAAACGGTAGTCAGCGTGAAAAGAGGTCATGCAAGCGATGTGGTGGACGAGTAATGTCCTCGTAAAACTGATCTACCGATTTGCGGTTAAGCTTTCAATAGTATAACATGGGCTAATATTGATTTGCTAGTAAGCTGTGTGTGATTTCAATGGAACTTTCTGATAATAGTAAACTTACAAATTTAAAAATGACATAAAATATGCCAAAGACGCTTTGTGAGCAATCCGTCTGTGCAGCAATCACAAACATAACTCGGCTCAGTATATCGCATATTGTCAGCGATAAGTCGAAAAATATGACCTAAATTATTTGTATTTTCAAGGAAATTCCCAATTCGAATAGACTATGATCAAGCGAACCGGATGAAGTCTCTGAGTCACATTTTTGAAAAGTCAATTTCAATATTTTCGTTTGGATTTTGCTTGGTCTGGTTTATTTTGTGGTTGACATACTGCTTGGCAGCACCTTTGTTGAACAAATAACTTGGAGAGCGCGTCGTTAAACGGAGCTCCAACCAAAAACAGATGTTGTAGCTTTTTTAAATAAAATCCTTTAGATGCATAAAAAAGGCAACCCTAAGGAGACGGGACGGCAACAGGCAGCCCCGCCTACATCCGTTCGATATTGAGCGCAAGCCAAGAGCTCCTGCGTTGGCTCGCCTACGTAGTACTCCTGAGATTCAAATAGTATTCTTTCAAACGGACCGGGAGCAAGATTTTCAGTGCACGAATATTTTCAGCGAGTTGATATCTTGTAGTGAGATTTGTNAAACGGAGCTCCAACCAAAAACAGATATTGTAGCTTTTTAACAAAATCCTTTGGATGTATAAAAAAAGGCAACCCTAAGGAGACGGGACGGCAACAGGCAGCCCCGACTACATCCGTTCGATATTGAGCGCAAGCCAAGAGCTCCTGCGTTGGTTCACCTCTGTAGTCATCCTGAGATTCAAATAGTATTCTTTCAAACGGACCGGGAGCAAGATTTTCAGTGCACGAATATTTTCAGCGAGTTGATATCTTGTAGTGAGATTTGTTCCGACTCCTATAGACTTTTTAGTCCGCCATATATTGTAAATCATGAGCACGACTGCCATCTGAAAATACAATAACATCAGAGGAAATTCAAAGAAAAATATTCACCCGAAGGATCATTAAGATTTTTCATAATATATAATTTGTCCCAATTTGTCATTCAGTTCCTCTATGACTGTCCATAGACTAAACAAGGATTTTTCACAGTCGAAGGGGAGACCTTTTGGTTGCCAGGCCAAATCAGAAAACAACCTCATTACAGTCACGAAAACTATTGATGCGAATGATATGCCTGTTCATTACGGTCATTGTTCTCCGTAAAGGGTCACAAAGAAGTGCTACATAAGTGGAGCTAGGATAGGAGGTAAGTTTAGTAACTCCGATGTTGATGACGCCTGTTTATAGTATGCGCCCTCACATTTGATTTCCATTCAAAAACGTAATGACGTTCTGAACGCCTCGGCAATAGCTTGGGTGACCAGCTTATAATGTAATACAGGAGCCATGAATACGGTACCCCTTTTTCGGTGGAGCACAATTCCCTCGTTCGGAAAGTTTTTACAAATCTGCGCCTTTTATTATATTTCCCGTAAACCTGAGCTCCCATATTTGTTTTGGTGCTCTCAATTAATAAATTTCCGAGCCCTTCCCACATCCACCAGCCGTTGAGTCCTTGCACGCATTCGGGGAGTGATTTGGTGAGTTATATGATTTAGGAATTGAGAAATTAGGGTTGAAGAGCTTGGAAACTTTAATAGACCCGACCCATATCAGGCTATGTTCCTGCAATTCCTTCACAGATCCTTCCCTCTTTTTGGTTCATTCCTATAGACGTATGGAAGATAACACGAGGGCAATATAAAGTTTTCAGGTTGATCAATCCTGCTTTCAGAGTGCGCACCCTCCTTCGAATTCCACTTATCCAAGAATTGATACGCGGACCATGCGTGCGATAAAGTAGATACTTCATTTATTGCTACACCACCTCAGCTCATAAGAATAAATGTAAATATATAAATTTATATTGAACACGTACCACTGCAATAAACAGTTGAATCACAAAAAGTATAGCCTGTTGAATGTTGTCCTCTGATGATATGGTTATTTTTGCTGAGTAAATAACACCATATGAGATCAATAACTGAAATGTAGCACTGCCTTGGTAATACTTATAGTGAAATTGGTGTAGTAGTGGAACTAATGGTAAAGCAGAGATATAATCCAATAATTGAGATGATCAAAATTTCAGTACCACTGAATCGAGGTCGAAACATCCGAGCCCTAGTGTGGAAGGTGAAATCTGGATGCTCCCCTATCCAACTCTATCTCATTTTCTTCCAGGTCAAGCGTTTATTCACTTCCAAGGACCCGCTCTTAAATTCAAAGGTGGCTTCTTGTGATTTATAGAACCTGTGAAGAATTGGTATTTTCAAGGCGAATGGTCCTCCTAGCCACTGCACCATTGGAACTGTTCGATATCCAGAAAATTGGGACCCTTACTGACTTGCGAAGAGAACCGAAATGGTTGGAGTGGTTAGCCTTAGAAATGTTTGGCGAATAGAAGGTTATCTGAAGAATTAGTATCGAGTGGTGGTGCTGTAAACATAAACTGGGTATAGCCACAGGTTGAGGAGGCCGGTAGGAAGGCCCTCTTCATCTATAATGCCATTTATTATCCCCTACTACTACCTATGCACTATATGTATACAGGGTGGGCCAAAATTATGATAACCCAGATATAACATTACCAAAAAACAACAGAATGCTGATAAAACAAACCAAGTTCAAAAAAGTGTTCATCACTAATTATCATCATTTCTTAAATCACATCACTTATTAAAGTAGTACATCGAAACTGACTTTATGCTTTCACTCAAACCCGGACATTATGGTAGAAGGCGCGACGGTGGCACGCAGGTAGTATCAACGAGTTGATCCCAGCTCTTTGCAAGGTATTTTCGTGATTATCTCAGTTCTGTTTGGACTAGTGCATTCTTTCACTTCCAGGGTTGACCACTCTGGGACATCCATGAAATTCAATTCAGGTCAGGACTCTTTGGTGGCCTGTGATCGAAGGTTATAAAGTTGGAAAACTCATTTCACAAAATTCCTGGACAATCTCCCATCTGTTATCATAAGTTCCACCTCGATATATGTCCGCTTTGGATCAACAAACTGCCTAAATGCACATGGCGAAGTCGAGCAGGTCTCCAAATTAACTTTAACTCCTTAATTTACAAAAATAATCGGTACCTCTGCCTCCGCTTAGATGCTCGCAAAGGCCATTACAGAAAGTAAATAAGCCTGGCACTGTATCAATTCCATTTCCTCCAGCTCCATATAAGTCCAGTCGCTCTGTTTATTGAGCACCTTCTTCACCGTGAATGTTTTCGGGCAATGTCGGTGAACGGGAATTCCCTAAGACGATGTTCTTCGGGAACATTGTAGCGGCTGTTGTGAGCTAACCTTTCTCTTCTCTTCAGCCTGCTCACTCGGGAAATCCCTTTCTGATCGTATAAAGGCCTTGTTGTGCAGATGACGTTTGAAGATTTAGCGCAGAAAACTTAATAAGATATCCTTTCTTTCAGCTATTTTGTGCGCAGAACTGACTTCACCGCTACGCAGACCTTCACCCTGTTCCCGCAATATTCCTCATGAATGCACCCGTAGGCCTCTTATGCTCAACCGTTCGATCTGCAGTTGTTTTCAACTCATAAAAGCGTCATATGGTTGAATATACCAGCTGCCTTGTTATATTTAGTCGTCTGTAGGAGCTCCATTTCAAGAGTGCTTGTAATTGCACAGTGATGATTGATACACGAGGTAGTTATGCATTATTTCCAGAATCTGCCGAAAGAATGACACAATCTACC